TTCCCCCCCCCCCCCCCCAAAAGACATAAAAGCGGCCAATGGACGGCTGAGATTAATTGTGAGGATCAGAATGGCGCAGATGACGTTCTTTGGAGGGTGAGCTTGTTGCAGCCTTTGTGAGCTTCTACCTCTTGACGTAGCTGTTCATTATTAATATACTAAATAATTATCCCCATTTCATCAAGACATTAATCATTTAAATTTCAATAAATAATTAATGTGAATATAATTATCCTCATAAATTTGATCACTAATTAAATAAAGAGAAATGCTAAAGTCACAAATACTTTGATCACAAAATACACAACTTTGCTATTTGTGTACCTCGCCAAATGAATTAAATAATGTAAAATAATTAAAAAGTAAACATTTAAATACATAAATGGCAAGGTTGTGTATTTTGTGATCAAAGTATTTGTGACTCTAGCACTTCTCTTAAATAAATTAAATCAACATGACATATTTAAACAAAAATGATATTATTATGTTTGTTTTATATACCTATAGTACTTTCAAAATATTATTTTAACTAATCATAAATGTATTTTATAAATTTTATTTAATTATAATGAAGCCTAAAATGTCAAAACTAGCTAGACAAATTTTTATTGTGTATGTGACACACACTCATAAATTAGCACATATCATAAATGGAAACTAAATCTTTCGCACAAACATTCTTTAAACAGCTTATAAGCTCATTCAGGAAATCTATATGAAGGTATAATTATAGCATTTTCTCTTTTGGGCACCACCTATATATATCATGCAAATTCCCTTTTCTATCCCAATTTAATATACCTCCCAAAATAAACCCTAAAATAAAAATCTTTATTTCTTTTTTGGAGACACGCCACACAAAATGATTTTTCATTTCAGTTTTGAAAAACTTTCTTAATATTCACAATTTTTATTTCTCGTGCATTATTTTCAACTACACAATTGCATTTTTTCTTAAATATTGGTACCAAACCAAATCAGAAGCCTTTTTCTGGCTCTTTAATTTTTTAAAAAAAAAAATCTTAAATTTAACATCATAGTGTCTCACAAGCATACATAAATAGTTCATGTCTAAATAATTATTATCTTGTATATGTCTGTATATGTCTGTAAGATATTATGGCGTCAATTGTAATTGTGAAGTTCTCATAGATTTTGATGTCATTTATTATTAACTTAATAAAAAACTCAAACTTATAGTTATATACCCAAAAAAAATGCATGTATGTATGTATGAATGTATATATGAATGTATGTACCCTTTCATATTGTTTATTGAGCCTTGCATTCTCTTTCAAGAGGATTGCCACTTCTGCCTCCAACCCTTCAGTACGAGCCTGCACGTATATATATTTGTATGATGTCATGTCAGTGCACATATACATACACATATACATATACATTGACATATACATACACAACACACTACAGAGAGTGACTTTCCTCTTTTCTCGCTCTTGAACGGGCGGCAGCCTCCCGGTTCTTCATCATCCGCACATGCCTCTTGTCGACGGAGTCATGAACCCTCTTTCTCCTCCTCCTGTCGGCACCCGCCGGAGGCGGCGGTGGCAGCCCGTCGAAGCTGCCGTCGGAGGAGGCGGAGTACGGCGGCTGAAGCAGGGGATTATTAGCAGCAGCAGAGTTGTGGTGGTGGGCGCCGCCGAAGAAGTGGAACTCCGGGGAAGTGGGTTTCCCGGCGACTGGCGGGGGCGGCGGGGTGTCTCTGGCGGCGCCGGCGGCGAAGGGGCGAGCGAGGAAGTCCTGGAAAGCGACGGGGATGCGGGGGCCGCGCCTGAAGGGGAGGGATGAAAGGTTGATTTCGTCCCAGAGGTCTTCCATGGCAATTTGGGGAAGTTCTGGGGGTTTAAATGTAATAATGGAAGAGTTGGAGAGGTTGAAGATGAAGAATGGGGAATGGCACTGTTTGGGACTAAATATAGCCCAAGAAAGAAAGATGCCCCCCCAAAACCTGTATGTCTGGTCAAGGGAGTACTGTTTCATCAATTTCTTTATTTAAATTGATTGTACTTGAGCTATAGTACCTCCTCTAGTTAGGGATGTCTCTTACTTAGGTCAATAGGGATGTAAAAATGGACTCATTTTGTGTTTGTCACATTAGGTAAAATCAACTCAAATTTAAGTTTTTCTAAAATTAATTTTAATAAAAAAATTAAAATCTACATATTTAAAAAATACGTTAAAAGTTTTTTTAAAAATAGAAGTGGCAAACAAATTCTATTTTATCAAATACAGAGTAATAAAAAAATAAAAAAAAATATTTCTCGTAATTTTTAAATAATAAACTGTGACATTTTAGTTTGTACTACCTCTGTCCAGTGTATTTGTCCAGTTTGACTTTTTCGAATTGAACTGAACAAACTTTGAACTCCTATTATTTTCAACTTATATTACATATTAGCATTATGAAATACAATTTTGAAAGTTTTCAATACGATAAATTCAATAAAGTCATTTTTATGTTAAAATACATTACGATTTTTATTTAATTGAAGCTCAAAGATTTTTATTACATCAACATTTTTATTACATCATGATTTTTTTGACTCAAAAAAGTCAAACTGGACAAATACACTGAGACGGAGGAAGTACTTTTTATAAAGTGATATATTTATATATATAGTCATGCCTTGATGATTCCTTTCTTTTGGGGAGTAGAAAAGATCCTTGAAAAATGCTAGGGGTACACCAAATGGTGTACCTTATTTGTCCCCCACCCCCTCCATAACCACAAAAAAAGGTAAGAGACTAAAAAAAATTATATAAATAAAAATAAAATAAAATTGAGTGGTAGAGAGATGGGTGGGGGACAAATGGGGTACACCTTTGGTATACCCCTAGCATTGCTCACGATCTTTCCATACTTACAAAATCAAACTTAACTAATCTCTTATTGAAAATTGTTTAGAAGAAACAAAAAGATTATGGATTAGATATTATTTACTTCCTCCGTCCCGAAGTTTTTGTCCAGTTTTGACTTTTGGAACTGTTCATCTAAGCACTTTGACTCATCAAATTCTCTCAATGTGTAAGCCTAAATATAGTCATGTGTGATCTTGTTTGATTTGTCTTAACATATAGATTATTAATATATAATTTCTATAATTTTTTAATATACAAATTACAAGATAAAATGGATTAAAGAAGTGCATTGGATAGTGTGTAAAAATGAAAGTGGACAAATACTCTGGGACTAGGACGGAGGGAGTATTTTATTAAGTAAGCGAGAAAGTAGCATGATTATTTTGGAATAGTGAAATAGTTTTCAATCTGCATTTATTAATATATGAAGGTTCACCATGAACCATAGGCCAATCTTAGGTAAATGAAAAGATCTTTTCTGGAGAGAGAGAGAGAGTAAGGCTCACCCTTTGTTGCTACTAATTAAAGCTTTACACACAAAGAGAGTTGAAGTGTCGCTGGACGTTGCATATTTGGCAATGCAAAGAACGCCAATGAGGTAGGACCCGTGTTCGACTCTTGGTAACAGTGCTAAAAGACACTATGATAAACATAGGTCATCTGCAAATACTTAGTGCATGTTTCACTCTTTACTACTAATTTACGATCAAAGTCTAATTTACTTTCTCTCAATGACCGTCCAGCCGGATCTGAGGAACCCTCACCCATGGTCATCCTTTTTACAAAGAGAATTGAATTAAGTAGTTAATTGTGCATGGTGCCACTAGCATTATTATTTGGATAGAGTGTCTCATCAGGGTGGGGCGAATTTGTGGTTGAAAAAGGAAACATTTGGATTTGGGGTTGGGTTTGAGGACACAGGGAAGGGGGTGGGGGTGGGGGTGGGGGTGGAGGTGGGCATTAATGCATTATGTGTGG